CACCACTGTACATGTTTCAAAGATGTATTATCAGACCTGGTCACCAAAGGAACCAGAGATTATGTTAATCTATCCAGTTCCTTATTTCTCGATTTCTGGCATCCGAGGGGGAGCAGGACTTGGAACCGACTCCCTGCGGATATTATGGTCCTACTGTAACATGCCATTTGTAGTGCAGTTCCCTTCAGAAAGAAAAGATGTCCATTTATCCTAGCCCAAATTTGCTTCCCACTACAAATGAACTGCTTTCATTTCGTGATTGGTCATCAGCAGATAAACATGGGCTTCATTCACAAGTCTGACTTCTCAGATTCTAGAGCTCTGAAAGGACTGCATCTCTAGAAGGAAAATGATGAAGTAGCAAGAAATACACATTCCTCTTGATGTTCCCTAAACCATCTTGAATCAAAAGTACAATTCAAAGCAGATGAATGCGTCCCACGGATCATGATCGAACCCTCTGACAACAATCTCAACTAGCGAGGGCCAACTGAAATGGAGCCAGAGTTGGACCTTCGAGGCAAAAAAGGCCATATCAGCAGACTTAGGAATTAAAAGGAAAAAAAAACAGAGAAAGTGTTTCTTTAAAAAAAAACCAAACAAAGAGGGAAGCGGGATCAGCAGGCATTTCAAGTGATGCAGCTCAGCTATATTTAGAAGAAAACTTTGCACTATTACCAAATTATTGCAGCAGCTTATCTCCTAATTTGCACTACATGAGCCGGCCTTTCAGCTATACGTTCAAATTATATATTTAAATGGTCATGAAATACATGTCCTTCACTTCTGTGAGTCTTCAGTTTTGCACAAAAAAAGGAAACACTCCTTTCTCCAGTTTTTTCTCTGAAGTAATTCCTCTCTTTCTCAGCATGAATGTTTCTCATTTTGCCTCAAATTTTTCAACCTCAAGAGAAGAATTTGAAATTGCCCCTTCACACTGGACTAACTAGGGAAATATTTAATGCCCACTGAGATCTCCTAAGGTTCACCGAAGGCAAACCTTCAGCAAAGCATCACTAAGGCAAAAATATCGCGAAGGGCTTTTCCAGGAATTGTTTTGGTCTGGATGCGGCAGTTTGGAGGGGGGGGGGAAGCACTGGAGTTGCATTCCAGTCTGAGAGATCCTTGATGCTTGGAAAAGGTTGGTGGCTCATATCTCAGGCGGTCCAAAAGCTTGTGATCGGGGCTCACCCCAGTTCTTAGCCGCCTCCTCACAACAATTCTGCTTTTCAGAGATGTCAGTGGAAAAAAAAACACACCCCTCCTTCCTGCTTTTCCAATTCTCTGATGATTCAAGCCACGTGTGCTGAAAATGGAATTTGGAACAACAAGAAGGGCGACAGTAGCGGGAAGGCAGACAAACGAAGTCTGTTTGCTGAACTTGTCATTTGGGAATGGCCTTGGCTGCGTAGGCAAAGAAAGCCGGGTGAGTGACTGCATTCGTGCATCAATATTTGGTATAGAAAATACTACCCCCCCCCCTCGAAAAAGGAGAGGAATAAAGGGAAAATAGGTCAGCAGCACAAAGAGGAAACGGGGGAAATAGGCTGCAAAGGGGTGATCAAAAGGCACTTGCAAACAAGTCTATTGAGAAAGTGCAGCAGTTTGGAAAAGAGAAGTGAGTGGCGAGTAAATCACGGAATCACACCGAGAAATTGGGCTTGGTCCTTAGCAGGGACAAAGGCATCATCGGATGGTGTCCTCCCTCTTAAAACACACAGACCTCATTTAGTAGGAATTCTCACAATACACAAGCCTGCGGGAGGAGGTTTGGATCTTCCCAGGGACAATATACAAGTGGTACCTCGCTAGACGATGATAATCCATTCCACTGAAATCGCTGTTTAGCGAAATTATTGTCTTGCAAAAAGCATTTCCTCATTGGAATGCATTGAAACCTGTTTAATGCGTTCCAATGAGGAAGAATTGTAGTTGTCTAGCAAAAATCAGCAATAGGAAAGCCGCTTTGCAAATCGCCGATCAGCTGTTTAAATCACTGTCTTGCGAAGCTTAGGTCCTGAAAACACCTGTTTTGCAAGCGTGGAGCGAGCTGTCAAAATCGTCGTCTAGCGAAAATCGGTTTGCGAAGCAGGGACCAAACATTGTCCAGCGAAATTCCCCCATAGGAATCACTGTTTTGCGAATCACTATAGCGATCACAAAAAGTCAATGTCTAGCGAAAAAACGGTCATGCGGGGTAACTGTCTAGCGAGGCACCACTGTATTTTCATAGGGCAACCATAAGGGGTCAGCACTTGAATCTTGGGTTGCCTTGTAATGTGCAGTTCTGCCGTAGTTTTGTATTGTCTCAACCATGGTGCTTACCGGATGGACTAGACTTTGGTCAGGTCAATTACATTTTGATTGTAGGTCGTGTTGAGTATGTTCAAAGGGAACGACACTTAGACAGTCTAATGGTCTGATTGTATGTCTAGTTGTGCAACTTTTCCCTATGGAACTACTCTCTGGATACGACTTCCACCTTACTGCAAATATTTTCAATGGCCTGCACAACACCAGCAGGAGCTTGGCCGCTGTTTCTCAGCCCAAGGGGAGTAGTGATGACTGTGTGGCCAAGATCCTATTTGCATAAAGGAGTTCAGTGTTTCAGTTTCTGCCATCTCAAGAAAACAGCAGCTGGTGTAACTAGGAGATCTCTGCCTGAGAACCAAAGATAAGCTACCAATCAGGATAAGCAATGCCGAATGAGATAGACCAAAATATGGACAAACGTTTGAGCAATGCCCTTTGCTAAAAACCCAGGAACTTCTAGTGAGTAAGACCATGAGTCAACAGAACCTGCTGAATAGCTTAGTGGTTTAGGTCTCTGCCCGTGGAGCTAGAGGTCGGGAGTTTGATTCCCCCACTGTGCCTCCTCTGCAGTTCTAAGATGATTATGACCATCATTGTTATTATTACCCCCATCAACTTGGACCAGCAGGTAGAAGCTCTCCACAGTTGTCCTCTGCAGTTCTAAGATGATTATGACTGTCATTGTTATTATTACTATTATTACCCCCATCAACATGGACCAGCAGGTAGAAGCTCTCCACAGTTCCATGCAAAATGTTTTCCTAGTCCTATCTAGAGATTCTGAGTATTAGCTAGCAGGGATGAGGACTTGCTAGAATCGCAGGATTTGCTAGACTTAAGCTGTGCCAGCAACTTGACTTGGACGTGACTCTGGATTGTTTTTTTTTTTTAATGATTCAGACTTGACTTGAG